AAAATACGAACAAACAGGGGCACCTGGGTGGCTCAGTCGATGAAGCATCTGACTCTTGGTTTCAGGTCATGACCTCACGGTTCATGAGCTCGAGCCCCTCACCGGGCTCTTACACTAACAGTGCTGAGCCTGCTTAGAATTCTCTCTCCTTCTCTCTCTGCCCTTACCCTACTAACGTTCTCTCTTCCTCTCAAAATACATAAATAAACTTACAAAAAAATTTTTTTTAAACCCAACCAAACAGACAAAAAAACAATCGGTGTTCTGAATTCCCACTGACCTTTGCCGTGAAGCTACCTGCCATTGTCTATAGGACTCTGGATGATTCCCTCTCTGTCCGGGAGCCTCCCGTGCAGAGCTCCCTAAACCAGGGACCCGGGACAGCAAATGGCGTCAGGAGCAGAGAGGTCTCAGGAACTAGTGCTGACAACGCATATTCTGAAGTCTGAAGACCCCCTCCCGCCCTTGCATCTTGCCAGGTCTCCCAGCTCACGGGTCTTCATCGTCTAAGACACCCTCCGAGGAAGCAGCCCTTGCCGCCAGGGCACACGCCCAGAGCAATGAAGAAACTGCTTCCTCCCAGGTGAGACCAAAGTAACCAGCAAACCTCACCAAAGTGGCCAGTGATTTGAGGTCAGTTTTAAGCCAAGAGCCAATGTGAACGTTGAGGGCTTCTGCTACTGGATATAAAAGCTAAGGCTTCTGTGCCAAAGTCTGCTTCCTATTCCTTTGCGGCCAGACCTCTAATATTTATTTGAAGACGGCAGAAAGAACAGGTGCTCAAGACCGAAGTGGGCAGTGAGGACAGACTCGATGATCCAGTCGATTAAAATGGGAGCCATTTCTGACCTTAGGAACCCGGGGCCCGTTTTACCCGCTACAGAGGGTTTCCCACGAGCGGGTGGCTTGTGGCCACTCAGGTTGCCCGGAGGAAGGTCGGATGTGCCCCATAATAACCGGCCGTTTCATGTGAGCACGTCCTGCCCCCTGGAGGCCCGGCCCAGAAGGGGCAGGCCCTGGTTGAGAGCGCTGCACGCAGGCACAGATGCGATTTCAGCCTTCAGGTGCACATACGCGGGGCAGGGGGTGCACAACACCTAAGTCTCATGCTGAGACAGCACAGCCATTCAAGCAGCGTTTCACGAGCATCTCTGCACGTGCATTTCTGAGAAGCATATGAATTTTCACACTTGCTGTTTTCCGCTTTCAAGATCCATACAGATCAACATCAACAGCCTGCCCGTGAGCCAGGGGCCGGACTGGGGAAGAGGACAGTCAGGCAGGAAGAGCCAACGGGGGAGGGCGGGGGCGGGTAAGAATATCTGAGCAGAAGCGTGTCTCACACAGCCCCGGATGCGGCATACACAAGGGTCACCCCTCCGGGTGGCCAGTCACCTGGTTCTAGGTGGAGAATGGGAAAGCGTTGATAGAAATAGGCTCTCTGAGTGTTCTGCATCTCTGCAACAAAGAGGTTAAAGCAAAACCAGGCAAGAGGAAAGGAGGAACGGACGGAAACAAGGAAAGAAAACAACTCCAGAGCCACCGGCCTGCCAAGGAGAGGCGGAAACGCAGTAAAGTGCGGCGGGGGGGGGGGGGG